ACACACACACACACACACACACACACACACACACACACACACACACACACACACACACACACACACACACACACACACACACACAGAGAGAGAGAGAGAGAGAGAGAGAAAGAAATTGGCCACCATATAAATATATTAGTTAATTACTATAGCCTAAATAATACACATTTCGACTGTAGCTTGGTCCGAAAAAGTAACCCAGTATCATAATTTCAGATCCATGTGTTTAAGTGTAAAAACGTTCAGGTGTTTAACGTGAGATCAGAGCGTGTGTCCCAGGGGAAACCCGTTGATATGTGATTTAAATGAATGGAATAGATATATGTGCGGAAGGTGAATGCTACACTGCTGATAAATAAATAAAGTGGACCTCTCTTGGAGGAAAAAAAAAGACAACACCCCCCTCGGGTACTTCAGCTTCTTCCAGCCCATCTCTCCGCATGAGACAGCAGCTGCACCAGCCTCAAAAGCGCTCTTATTAATTGTCTTTTGTCATGCGTAATTGCTGTATTTTCAATGGTGGCCGATGCAGGACGACTTTGGAGTGCTCTCGTTTTTCTGTGCATTGGTTGCTATAGTCCCTTTACTGCAGAATTTATGCTCCACAGTCTCAGCCCGGCATTATTTCAAATATCTGTGTAACCTCCGTGTGATCGGAAAAGTTCGTCATTGTGACAGTTATAGAAGAGATAGCCGTTCGACCTGGAAAAAGGAGCTTCAGCCCATCATTATATAGACCTTACAGTTTGAGGTCACGTCCTGTGGGGCTGAAAAGGGGGAGAGTCTTTGTCGAAACTGTGGTTTATTCTATTGTTAATAGCTTTAAATGCTGCACTGGTCTTTCACACCTGCAAGGGAACTCTAATTCGATTAATAGGAACTTCAATATATATTCATTAGATGGCTTTCCCCCAATAATATATGATCACCAGCGGGATGTGAATGGGGACCATTTATTCCTACTCTGAATGGGCCTGCGTGGGACCAAAACTTCACCTGCTTCCCCTCTCAATTAGGAATGTATCCCAAACTCTGACAGAAACGAGTTAAATTAGGCGTCAGCTAATTTCCAGTGGCCCCTCCTACGTAATCCCTCCTCAGAGCCTTTCCATTTGAGCGTGCCCCCTTTAATTCACCATAAGTTGAAAGGTTCAAATAGTGCCTAATGAAACAGTGACTAAATCGTTCTCTGTCGCTCGGAGGAACCCTGTAGCTGTCTCTCAAAGCTCTCTCAGCACACAGCCGTCGGGGGTCCTGGGCTAAATGCGAGTCCCAAGGCAGGACAATCTAACCTGTCAAAGCCTTTGCCCACTTCTATATATACTTGTTCTGTGGTCTCAAGCAATAGCAGCATAATCAACCAACGTGGGACCGAAAACGCAATTAAACTCGCTTTGGACAACCAAAATCTTTTCAAAAGCGAACATTAATGGACTATTGGCTGCTCCCCGGGGGCGTTATCGGGTACCCTTTTGTGGTCACATCTAAGGAGAAATTACACTTTCATAAAGCTCACTTCATCCATTTTGAATTAGATAGCTAGATCTTGTAAATTGAGCTCTGCTACATAATGTTCTTAAATAAAATACGCACAGTGGACATTGAGGTGTAACAGAATAAGACCACTGGTTAGGAATGACAGCTTAATACAGCTGTCGTGACAGAAACACCTTAATTCGGTGAAATGCTAAAAGATAACTGAACTCACGGTTTAATGAGCCAGAGGCTAGGAAAGTACAAAGTCTTTGTAATACAATAAAACAACTTTATCTTTTTTCAAGGTGGAATTTTAATTTTTTGAAAAAAACATTTAATTGTGTTTAAATTAAATTATATAAGGGGGGCTTTTTTCTTCATAAAATTACAATGAATGTACGTTTGAAACCTTGTAATATTTCACTTATAATACTGAATATTTACATATTTTTAATGGAAAAGTGAAAAAAAAATCATCCCTGCGAGCAGTTTTTAAATCAACTCGACTCTCAAAGACGCAAAAATCAGTTTTTCCACTTTGTATTAATTATCAGTGTTAGAAATATTAGAGATTCGGGTGAGCATGTGCATAATCAATCATAGTAAGTCAATAATGACAAATTATTAGGTCAGCTCGTCATGTTTATTTCAATAAATACAGATATACAAAGTTTACAAATTGTTACATACAGGTTTCGGGTTTACACGTCAGACCTTTACTATTTCTTGGGGTTTTCTGTGCTACACGTCACTGACTGTAAACGTATTTCCGGCAAAAACTGAAATCATTTACTGGGGATAATTAACAAGGTAGTGTAGGTGAGAACCTCGGGGGGATCCACATAACATCAGTCACATAGTTGGCCGTGTTCCCAAATATTTCACAAACACCTATCCACACTGGTTTTTAAACATTAAACATTTGTTTTGAACATTATAAAGAACATGGAGCGCAGAACAATTAATATTTTCAGAACTTCTTCTCAGGCTTCATGCAGCAGATATTTGGCTCAGGGGCTGGGTGATGCCGTGATCCATAAATGCAGCAGGGCAGAGGATGCGCCAGCAGTGGAACTTGTTGAGCCGAGTTGCTCTCAGATGGGTGACACCTCTTTCTCTTCAGAGGCTGAGGCCGGAGATAGAGACTCCTCGTCTTCTGACCTTGAATAGTCTGTGTGGCCGGTTGTGCACTTGCAACCACTGTGCGCGCTCCTTTGGGTGGCTTTACCCTCCTTCTTGTGCTTCACTCTGCGGTTCTGAAACCAGATTTTCACCTGTTTCTCTGACAGGTTTAAATATGTAGCGATTTCGATTCTCCTGAGTCTAGAAAGATACATGTTCGTGGAAAACTCCCTTTCAAGTTCCAGGAGTTGCGTACTTGTAAAAGCCGTGCGCATCCTCTTGCCATTCTGTATGTGGTTACTCTCGGAGGCACCTGTTAGAGGAAACAAACATTTTTTGAGTCATGTTTTAGTTCTGTACTTCGTCTGTGAATGCGCGCTCAATCCAAGACAGGTGAAATATCGCGCGTAAATCGTCGTGCGTAAAAACAAAGTGCATACCATTGATCTTACTGCTACAAAGTACAACACGAGTTCTAATAAGTACACAAATATGTGCCGGACAGTAGCTCTAGTCATGAGCCGAGACAGTAGAAAACACGTGCTTACCAATAGAGAGACAATGGTATCTCCTGGGATCTGTGACGCTGAAGGTGGGCGTGCAGACAGGTGTATGTCCAGGGTGAGCGAGTGCAGGAGACTGCTGATGTGCTATTCTCTGACAATACTGTGGCTCTGCTCCTGGAAACTGACTCTTCAGCATGGGAATGCCGCTGCGGGAAGAGTGGATGTGGGATGTGACGCACAGTGGACAAACACAGAAAGTCCCATTTTTCCTGGAGGGGCACACGGGAGCGGTGACAGTCATTACGCTCGGAGAGTGCATGCTGATTGGAATAAGGAAGTCTTGTCCTGGATGCTCAGTTGGTCCAGGTCGCACCGTATCCTTGATTATTAAAGAATCAACATAAAATGACCTCGACATGGCTGCGTCGCTGATAAGTGATCACTCGGTGAGCAGGATGATTGCTGCTTCTCATCTGAGCCCCTCGGGATTTCCAAAGGTGCTTATGTTTGATGGTCCAACAAAAGAGAGCCCGAGGAGGGTTGGCCCTGCAGCGTCACCCACGTGCGCACCCGGCTCTTGGGGTTTATACTGTCAGTGACCTAGACCACGTGATGTCTCATATAGGCCTCCAATCACAGCTTCAAGATTGCCTTTTTTATGCCGAATTTCCAAAGTCTTGACTGGTAACATAACATAATCAGGGATTTTATGTATTTATTTATTATTTTGAGAACTGTGTAGAAAGTTCTACAAAGACATTTTTCAGCACATTCACACTGACTGAAGTATTACTTTGTAATACATTTGAAACAAAACC